CACAATAGCATTTTCAAAGGATTTTTTTTGTCATGATATCAGATGGTTTTATATCTTTTTCCTAATTGTACTTACATGACTGCCACCTGAAAATCTTCCATCTGTTAATAATGCATCATCGATACCTGCAGAATATCCTGAAAAAAAAGAAGAATGTTTGTCAGCAGGAGAAGCAATTCGTAACTTGTTGGAAAAAGATATAAAACCATCTGATATCATGACAAAAAAATCCTTTGAAAATGCTATTGTGCTAACGATGATACTTGGTGGCTCTACAAATGCTGTTCTACATTTGATTGCTATTGCTAGAACTGTTGGTGTTGAATTGACATTGGACGATTTTCAAAAAATTAGTGATGATACCCCCTTTTTGGCAAATCTAAAACCAAGGTATTTGTTGTACCCCTTCTCCACATATATATTTTTAAATTATTTATTTTATTAAAATATATTTATACATTAGTGGTGAATATGTTATGGAAGACTTGCATAAAATTGGTGGCATACCAGGTAAACTCTCTAGTTCATCATATGAGGATATGAGTAAAGCACAATTATAATTATAGTTATAATTTTGGTTTTGCTTTTTTAGCTGTTTTAAAATACCTTTTAGATAATAATAAAATTCACGGAGATGTGTTAACAGTGACTGGAAAAACTTTAGCAGAAAACTTATCATCAATTGCACCACTTTCATTTGACAATCAAAATATAATAAATCCATTGGATAAGCCAATCAAATCAACAGGTCATATACATATTCTTAAAGGTAATTTGGCACCTGAAGGTTCTGTGGCAAAGATTACCGGTAAAGAAGGTTTGATATTTAAAGGCAAAGCAAAAGTTTTTGATGGTGAAGAAGATATGTTAAAAGCATTGGAAAAAAATGAAATTAAGAAAGGTCATGTCATAATTATAAGGTATGAAGGTCCTAAAGGAGGTCCTGGAATGCCTGAAATGTGTAAGTGGAATCGAGTTATATAAAAGTTATATAAATTCACTTTTTATATATATGTATTAATTTTATTATTATTATTATTAAATTTGTTTTGTAGTGACTCCAACTAGTGCTATTATGGGTGCAGGACTTGGTAACGATGTTGCATTATTAACAGATGGAAGATTTTCAGGTGGCAGTCATGTAAGTACAATTAGGAAAAAATATTATATCTATTTATTTATCCATACTTAATATTTAAAATTTATGAATATAGGGATTTATAATAGGGCATATTACACCTGAAGCACAATTGGGTGGTCCAATAGCATTAGTGAAAGATGGTGATGAAATTGTTATAAATGCAGAGAATAAATCTATTGATGTTGATGTTAGTGATAATGAGCTTGAAGAGAGACGTAGAACATGGAAAACCCCTCCTTACAAATTTACTAAAGGAACTTTATACAAATACATCAAAAATGTTAAATCAGCTACTGAAGGCTGTGTTACTGATGAATAAAAAATTAATTTTACAATATTTATTTATTAACATTAATTCGCATATTTTTCATTATATTAATTTCTGCCAACTTTAGTTTTTGTTGTTTTTATTCAAAAAATAGTTTTAACAAAATCAATTTTCATCCCAACCCTTGTATTTGTGTTTTTTTCAGATGACTTCTGTGAAAGTTTATCAATTCTTTCCACAAATTGAAATAAATGACAACAAATGTAAGATCTACATGCAATATACCTGTTACCATAGTTATATAGCATCAATCCAATAATCATACTGTGTATAACATTGGCATATAACTAATACTAATGACAAATTGCGTAATCCTTACTGCTGTGAGTAACGTATCTGAGCACATAATGCTAATCTAATACTGCTTCCACTGCCATTTGTGTGATTGCTGATTATTATAATAATGACAATGACTATTTCCTTTTGATGATTCATAACCTCTATTCCATGTATGTTATTGTTCTTAATTTTTTTGCGGCTATTAATTAAAAGTGAATAATGACAACTTTATTTATTATTGATGCATAAAAAATATAAAAATTTAGTAAAGCCTTTTGTTCTTTAAATTTTCACTGTTGCGGACATTGTGCTAAATTTGGTCTTCTTTATTGAGTAATTTTTTTTTTAAAAAGCTTCAAGTTTTAAATTGCCATCATCATGGATGATCCATTCTTGTGGTTAATGCTATAATATTAACATCATTCAATTTAATAAACTTATATACTTATTGTAAATTACTTGATGCATTAATCTAGATTTATTAAAGAAGCAACCTCGTGTTATCTATATATTGTCTATAAAAAACCTAACTATTTATTTCACGAGTAAAAATATATGGCCAAGTAAATATGTTATTTGCGCAGCTTTGCAAGAGTTATCAATATTCGGAAAACAAACGATTTTCAATAACGAATATTATAAATTTGAACGCATCTATCTCTATACAAAGCAAATAAAATTTATAATCACGTATAGTTAGCATTTTTTTGACTATCTTATATTCCATGAGCATTTACTTGTTGACAGTGGTTTTGAAGTCTTATTAAAAAGATTCCTCGTGACTCAAAGTTCGTGTAACAAAATTTTTTAGATCAAAAGTAAACGTGCGAATTTTGATTTCATATTAATAAATGGATCTTCTCTATAATAATAAATAATAAGTCTTAATCGCAATTTTTTATGCATATAATCATTATGCATAATTAACGTAATACTACCCCAAGAGTAGTTCACGAATAATATAAAATGCTGAAGCAAATGCTCAATGTGAGTCATAGGCAATTCGGTGAAACATTGCATCGATATTTATATATTTATTATTTAGAGTTTTTTTTTTTGGTTCATGTACACTATTTATTATGGTATTCATGTTATTATTATTATTAGGTATTTACGGTATTACGTATTACGGTATTGGTATTACGGTGACGACTTTTACAACTTTAGTGTCATGCAAAAATTTATTTACTGCTTATACGTAATAGTAATGCCGAATTTACCGTAATTGCCGTTATTCAGACAAGTATAGTTCAGGACATTGTGTGGCTTTTTTAAATTTAGTTCCTCGAATTTTCATTTCTGCTTCACACGCAGACCAAATAGATTTGCTAATATACGTTAGCAATAATAATAATAGGTAATAGCAATAATAGTGGATTTAATAATTTTTTATTGCTCAAATTAATTTGTTTGTTTATATATAAATAGGTGGAGATGGAGCAATTGATACGGTGTTCATATAGCTTATGACAAAAAAACCTTTATAAAACAAATTGTAGAAGATCATGTGAGCTTGATGATGACTTTAGATTTAATCAAAAAATGATTCAGATAATGATGTAAACTATGACGATTAAAAATATTATGTATGTGGAATATATAGATTACTAGATGGCAGGTATCAGAGATTGATTGATCATTCAGAGGAATATTCCTCGTTCCAATTAGAGTTGGTGTCTCTTGCTGCTATTAATAATTATTAATATATATATGTATACATAGGCGATTACAAATTGGATGGTTTTCCTGCTCTTCCTGTTATTAGTGGAAAGTATTATCAGAATCAATTCCATGTACACTTGAATATCGTGATCCATCAGCTGTTGGAGCTCAATGACGCGCATTTATTAAAGTGATTGTAGAGCGGATTCATTAAATAAAATTACAAGTATAAATGGTGTTGTTTTTTTTGATATTGATGATAATGTAATATATATATATATTGATATTATAAAGAGGAAGCTTTTTATTAAAGGTAATTGTTTATTTACGGTGGAAGTTCTTCATTATCCCTAAATTATCAATATAATATTTACATAAATAATAATATACATTCATAATATAATATAATATAATATATAAATTATTAACCATTTAATAGGCATTCTTGTAACTCTTGGCTTATCTGCTAAAATGTTGCGATAAAGTTTATCCAATGCCACATCTTCTGGTGGTTCTTCTCTCAATGCCTCCTCAACATATTCATTATTAACATAATATCCTACACGAACAAATTCTTGATTTTTATATGAACAAGTAATGAGAATCACCGTCACATCTAAAATGTCTTTTGACGGTATTTGATCTACGTTCGGTGCTGGTGCCTAACCGATTAATTATAATATAGACGAGGATAGAGAAAAAAAAAGAAAGTAGAAGTGAAGAAAGGAGAGATGTAAATTATCTGTTGTTTACTTGATCATTTATTATACCACACGCAACAAATCTCTCGTACGCAAAATTCCTTACCTCAAATATAAATTGATTAATGCCGGGGGGGACAGGCCCAACCATAATACTTTCAAGAACTTGATCATATTGTTCACTTTCTGAAGAACCAACATAAATGATCTTCCATTCTAAATCTGTAAATAAAAAGAAATATAAATTTATTAGTTATGACTTTATTTGTGATATAAAATAACAGAAATTCTGAATTTTCCAATAATAACACGTAAAATATATTAATAAAAAAGATTTGTTTCTCAAAATAATTTAATACGCGTATATTTCTTTATTTATCTTATCCATAAATATTTTTTATTTTAAAATATTTATTTCTACAAACAACAATAGATCATAAACAAAAGATATATATATAATATAAATAAATAGATAGATGGATGGATGGACATATTATTTCTCTAACCTTCTGCAAGTGGTGCTATACATTCAAAAGTAATCTCAAACTGATATGTTTCTGTGAATAGAGCTGGATTATTTAAAACTTTTATGTTTGTAATGTTGACAATACTCATTTTTAAATTTTAATTATTAAAGAATGAGATCAAGAAGAGTTAAGCGCGTAGTAAAATTTTTTATAATTATATTTAGAAATTTATTTAATGATTTTTTTTTACAAACATTTTTTAAAAAGTCTAAAGTATAATTAAAAAATATACCTCATGAGCGATCATTTACTATTATATTTTTTGTCGCACGAAAATATATGCGCGCCCAATCAAACCTTTTACCATTGGATTTTGACGAAGATGACAAAAAATAGACAAACAAGATGGATTGTATAACTTTCATCCTTGACATAAATAAATAAACTTTCACATGTACTTTCATATGTGTCATCCACTCCGATCATATCCACAAACAATTTGTTCGATATTTTGTATTTGAAAACCACAAGAGTTTTTTGCATTTTTGATGAAATGCAGCTACATTTAAATATAAAATTTTCAATTTATATTTAACTTAACTTTTCCGAATGAATTATATGATGGATTTATTCTGTCAATCCAACTTGCAAAAAAAAGCAAAATAACCCTTTGGTTAATTATTGTCTTGGATAATATTAATTGAAAATCTAATAATGAAGAACTCCTTCCCGGAAAAAGGGTGACTGGTTTGAAATACCTTTGAATCTATCTAATTAAAGGAATAAAGTTTCTTATTTTGTAAAGACCAGAGTTTTTAACATTCTTCTGGATGTTTTGATAAACATCATTTAAGAAAGATTCTTTTCCCAAACATCAATTTCACTATTTTCTTTATACGGATATTCTTCAATTGGTTGAATTGTCATTGGTGTTATCATTATATAGTCAATATGAATCTCCACAAAATAGTTCATTGTATAATTATAGAGCAACTCAATGCCAAGCTCATCCGTTTTAATTAATATTGTATTTTACAAATATAAATAAACAAGGATACTGCTGCAATTAGGTTGCAACCCATTTTTACATGACGCAACTATGGTTATCATCAAAAGTTGCTCCCAGTATTCTTATTCATGATTATTATTTTAACTAAAGAAAAAAATTTCAATAATTCTTTAGAAACTAATTCATAGATACTTCCTCCTTAGAATATAATCTCCATTTTCTTTTCTGCATTCTTAAATACAAACAATGAGTGTTTAGAATTAATGAGTGTGCATATATTTCTTTAACATTTGGTTCTTTAACCTTTCTGATTCCAATAATTTTTTAAAGTTATCATGGTAAGGTTGGTGCTGCATTATTAGTGTCAATTGTATTTAATGAGTTATAAGGGGAGAGATTGGAATTGGTTAAAAAATCCCTTAGTTGAGTTTTTTTATTTTAGTTGGTTATTAGTATAGAAATTATCACATAAAAGAATCAATAATTTTTATTGAGTCATAAATTTACCCAAGGGGAGTTGCAATAGGACTCTGAAAACTTTAGAATGTCTATCTCATCTCCGATATCAAATAATAATTCCCAAACTATACTTTTGTTTATTTGATGTGATAGAGAAGGCATAATTTATAAGAACGTTAATTTGACAGAATTATCTAAAACAAATGAAGGAAAAGTAGATTTTTCTTAAATCACACGCAATCAAACAATATGGTCATAAACATATCTGAGGGACAATATATAGCAAAGAAATTGGGTTGCAAGAAAGACAAATATGGATTATTTAAAAAAAAATCACAAAAAATAAAATTATTTGGTTTAGTTGATAATAAAAAAAGAATACAATTATTTTAAATCAATTTCTATTGACAACCG